AGCTCTGCGGAATAATAACGAGCCGCCACTGCTCCTCACTGCTCCTTCCCGGTGACCTTGGGGTGCCCTTGAGCACGCCGCCCCACCCTCTCTCTTGCCATTCTCGAGAATCAGAAGGTGCTTCCAGCAGCACAAAGAATGTCAGGTCTCCCTGGAAGCACCTCGATATGAAAGGGTCTGCTGCCCACCACACGAGGGGGAGGGTTTTCCTCAAGGCGGAGAAACGCGTAGGAAATGTCTTTGTGTGATTGTATCTTTCAAGTTCAAATACAAAATCCGACACAGAGGGAAGCCAGTGCAATGAGGGGCAGGACAAAGAGCCTGGAGCTTGCCTGTGGCCATTGCAGGCGTGTGTGTGCACAAACACCCGTCTATATGTGTACACGTGTGTATGTGTGTGGTGTGTTCGTGTGTGTGGATATTGTGCACATGTGCATACATGCGTGCATGTGTTGTGTTGCTGCATTGTGTGAGTGTACCTGTATGTGTGTGTGTGCATTGTGTGTGTGCACACGTGTGTGTGTATATTTTGCTCTGTGCACATGTGTGTGCCTGTGTGTTTGAGTGTGCACGTGAGTTGCACTGTGTGTTTGTGTGTATGCAGATGTGTATGTGTGCGTACACATCTTCCATTCTGTTCTGTCTTCATGACAGCAGCCTGCACACCCAGGTGTGGGGCCTGCCTCCACCCCCTGGCCCTGCCAGCTCAATCCCATGATCTCGGAGGAAATCCTGCAGCAGCAGAGCCTTCCAGCCTGGCCACCCTGGCAGCCAGGGAGCTGGCCCAGACAGGGGCCTCGAGGAGGCCGCCGCAGCCTTTGGCCAGGCCACACCCTCGCTCGGCCCCAGCCTGAGTGCCCCGCATCCGTCCTGAAGCCCGCTGGGTGTTGGATGGCAGGCTCCTACCCTGCAGAGAGACGGCTGCTCTGCCCCGGGAAGCAGATCCCACCTCATCCCTCAGCTCCCAGGCTCCGTTGGGGCCTTGCCCTTTCACACTCTGTCTGACACGTGTGCATGAGCCTCTGGGTCTCAGCCCGCTCCCAGGCAGCCACAGGCAGCATCTGGCCGGCAGGACCTTTAACCCTAGACCCTGCCATTTGTGTCAGGCTCTCCCTGCCAAGGGGTTTCCCTGCTGGGGAAGAGCTGGAGGAGGCCAGCAGAAGGGTGGGGCCTGGTATGCTAGTCATTCTGCACAAGAGGAGACCCCGCCAGGGCCGTGGGGGACCCCAGCACAGTGCTGACCTGCCGGGCAGTGATTTCTTCTTTTTGAAATGATTTTACAAACGAGCAAATGAAACAAAAACTGCTCATTAAAAAGAAATACCACTGGCTTTTTGAATCCCCCCGTTTCAGTCTCCAGTGCCGGATGCTGGCCCCCTGGGGTCAGGGTGGGGTCTCCCGGAGCTCCGCATCGCCAGCCCAGACCGCAGAAGCCCAGCCCCCTGCAGATGTGTGTTGCGGCTGCTTCCTGCGGTCTGGCCCCGTGAAGGTGACCTTGGAGAGAAGCTCACTCACGGAGGCCACGGCAATGCCTCTGCTGCCACCTGGTGGTGAGGCTTGGAATTGCAGGTGGTCATCTGTGGGCTGCAGGCCCCTGGGGAGCATTCAGTCCACTGCCCTGAACTGGCCAGGGTGGGAATCTAACCCTCAGAGGAGCTGATGAATCTGCCTGAGGTCACACAGCGAGTCGCCATCAGAACAGAACCAGCCTGGCTTCCTCAGTGCCTCCCGACGTACAGATTGGGGGTGACACTGTAATACCCCCATAGGGGTTCAGAGTCTGTATTTGAGGTCAGGCAGATGGGGGGGTCCTGGCCAGGCCGTCACTCACGGGGAACGCTGGGCAAATGACTCAGCTCCACACCTGGATCTCCTCCCTAACAGAGGAGCCCACTGCAGGCTGCTGGGCAGGCCGCATGGGAGTCGCCAGGTGCCAGTGTGGTTGGCAGAGCACTGGTGTACAGTATGTGCTCAGTTCGTGCTTTCCCTGCTGCTGCTGCTGCTGCTGCTGCTGCTCAAGTGAAAACAGGGTCCCAGGAGAGGGATGAGGATCATTCTTGCTCCGGAACCACGTAACTACATTCAAGTCTCATGTTGGGTGGGATGAGAGGGACCCACATAGAGACCTAGAAGCAAGACCCTGAGACGGGAGAGGTGGCTTTGGGAGACCTCGCCCCCTTCACTGGCCCACCATGGAGGAGGCCACTGTTATTCCAGCGTCTCCCAAGTCTGCCTGGTGTTGGCATCACCTGGAGAATTACCGAGAGTGCAGACACCTGGACTCCAGCCCTGCACACTCCGATTCGGTGAGTCTGGGGTGGGGCCCGGGAATCTGTATTTGCACTGTTCCTCTGGGGGAGTTCCCACAGGCCAGCAGGTTGGGGGGATGCTGGCCAACCCCATCTTTCTGGTTTCTGTAGTGGGGACAGCCATGTGTCCTAGAGTGGGCGGGGCCGGGTAGTGCTTGTCCAGGACCGTCTGGGGAGTGCCCCCAAGGAGAGATGTGACCAGAGGGGGAGGAGGCAAGGGCGAGGGAGGGCCGGCCGGCAGAGACACAGCAGCAGGCTGGTGGAGGCCGTGCAGCCGCATAGGTGAGGAGCCCCAGGCCCTGCGCCAGGTAGACGGAGGTGAGCTTGAAAGGAGGAGCGGGAGGGGAGCAGACAGTCCTCTAGGCTCAGAAGTTCTTCCTGCAGGAGCCCGTGGGATTGACATTGGCAGAGGCGCCCCCATCAGGAGCCTCTGATGGCCTGCAGACCCCGGGAGCAGGAAGAGCAAATGCGTGGAGCGGAGGAAGTCAGGAAGCCTTCCACGGGGGGCAGTGGGGAGGCAGGCTCTCTGGCACTGCCTCCCAGCTCCCTTGCCTGGGCTGGGCCCCAGCACTCCCCGCAAACCCCCAAGGAGCGTGATCCAGGATTCCATGAGCTACCACCGCACAGACGCACACTCCTCTCTAGAGGGCCCAGCCAGCCAAAGGCTGTGTCTTCAGGACTGTCTTAGTATGCTTGGACGGCCGTAACAAATACCAGACTGGGTGGCTTAAACAATAGACATTTGTTCTCTCACAGTCTGAGATCCAGGTGTGGGCAGGGCTGGTTTCTCCTGAGGCCTCTCTCCTTGGTACGTAGATGCCGTCCTCTCCCCACGTCCTCACACGTCATCCCTCTGTGTGTGTCTGTGTCCTGATCTCTTCTTCTTATAGGGACACAAGTCATAGTGGATTAGGGCCCACCCTAGTGACCTTCGTTTTCCTTAATCAGCCTTTAAAGACCTCGTCTCCAAATACAGTCACATTCTGAGGTGCTGGGGGTTAGGGCTTCAGTTTTGGGGGGGACCCAGCTCGCCCATTAGGCGGCCTGAGCAAGGACTACAGTGAACACCAGATCATCAGCGTCTAAGGACGGCTCAGTTCTGGCTGCAGCCAGACCCCACAGGACCCCAGTCCACCAGACTTGCAGTGCAATGACACGCCGGGCTGTGCAGAGGCGAGGGCATCTGCTAAGGACAGCCGGTCTGGGGCAGACCCGGGAGGAGCCAGGAGCCTCAGAGACTGATTTTCCAAACTATCTGGCCCCAGCTCCCTAGTGCAGGGGCCATTCTTGCCACCCGCCACAGAGAACCAACACTCTACCGTGTGGATTAAATGGCAGGACAGCCCCGGGGTGGCTTCCTGCTGGAAGGAGGAAGTGTGTGTGGGGGGGGAACCTCCCACAGAGCGAGGACCCTTCTTTAGATGGGGGCCACACCCAGAGTGATGAAAAGGGATGCAACAGGTGTGTGTGTGTGTGTGCACGCGCACTCGCGCATTGCTTTCCACTTAAATTAAAACGACAGCGCACAGTTCCACTGCGTGTCGAGCAGGGGTCACTGCTGGAAACTCTTCTCTCATGTGTCCTCCCTTCTTGGTGTCCAGTTTCTCTCGGAAGGAGGAGCGTGGCCGCCACCGTGAGGGCCGTCTGCTGGGCTCCATCAGGGTCCCCAGCTCCCTGGCCTCTGCTCCCCGGGAGAGGGCCCTTTACACAGCCTGACCAACCGGCAGTACCCGTCTAGCTGCTCCCGGAGGCCACCTCGCCCTCTCTGTGTCACTGTGCAGCTGGCAGAGCCCCTGGCTGAGCCACCTGCCAGCCCCCCCACGGAGGCTGCGGGCCTCCCGGCCCTGTCTCCTCCCCCTCTCGGGGAGTGGGGGCAGACAGCGAGAGGGCCTGGTCTCCAGAAGCCCCTGAGGGCCCCGTGCCTTTCCAGGGAGGGTGAGGTGTGGCGGGGGCAGGGGGGCGCCTCCCTGATGTGGAGCCCAGGGCGTGGTGCCCAAATGGACAGGGATACATTCTGCCCACACTCCACTGCCCTTCCTCATCCCTTAGGGAGCGATGGGGCAGGATCCTTAGAGGGCAACCCCCAGGGAGCCAAGAGAGAAACCCCCCGAGGGAGGCCAGGGGTCAGGATGGCGGGGCCCGCCTGGCACCCCAGTTCCCATGCAGGGCTAGAGAAGGGAGCCCCGATCCTCTCCCTCCCAATTCCTTCCCTCCTCCTCCCCTCCTCCTTCCCTCCTCTCTCCATCCCTCGGAGTTCTCCAAGAAAAGCCTCTCCTTCCTGCAAAGCTGAGTCCAGAGGGGCACCGGGGTGTGGGAGCAAGGAAGTGACCCAGTCATGAGGGTGGAACAGGGACAGGTGCACCCCATTGTCCCTCCCTCCCCTCGCCGCTGCCCCCCGCACCCCCACTATGAGTCACATTGCCCCTTCTCCATTGTTCTCCAAACTCCCCTGACAGACACAGCATGGCCACCAGACAGCAAGTTGCTTTTGTCACCTGCTCTTTATTGACTGCCACGGGCTGCATTCTTCTGAGTGACCAGACGCCCCAAGAGCACTACTACATGGAGGAAGGTGGGAGGGAAGGTGGTCTGAGCGGAGCAGGCTGCCGAGAACCCAGGCGCACGGAGCCTCCGCCAGACGGACCTCAGGGCACCCAGGACACTTGGGTGGGGTGCTCGGTGCAGCCTCAATGCAGGCGCCCACTGCCAAGGGTCAGGATGCACCTGGCTGCCCTGGAGACCCAGGGCTCATCCAGAGATGCTCAGCAAGGGGCTGTTCTTCTTCTGACCCCGCCGTAGAGCCAAGACCGGCCTGCATCCCCCGGGAGGACGGGGCTGTGGTCTAAAGAGGCTGGGATGGCGATCACTTCCACCAACTGGCCTGTGTTGGGATCCGGGTCCCCCTGAGGTCGAAGCACCTCAGGCCAAGGCCCCAGGCTCTCCAGGCTACTCTCACAAACCCTCGTTCCCTCGGAGAAGAGGAAAAGGAAATGAAAAAGAAGAAAACAAAGGAAGACAGACGACCCACTTCCTGGGGTCTCCCCGGTCAACGGGTCAAGGGGGCAGCAGTGGGTGGCAGCCGAGGCCAAGGCCGAGCTTAGGACGAGGGCGCAGAACTGGGCTTCTCCTCCCGCGACACGGGGATGGCTCGCTCGCTGTGGCCGGCGTCCATGCCAGACGGGATCTTGGGGCCGGAGAAGGTGAGCATGCCGTCCGCGGACAGGGAGCAGGAGAGCGCCGTCTGGTCCACATTGGAAGGCAGACGGTAGCGGCGGTGGAACTCGCGGGAGATGTAGCCGTGGTCGTCCTGGGGAGGGGACAGGTCAGAGACGCCACTGCGGCAGGTGGCCTCTGACCACAGGCGGAGAAGGCCCTCCTGGACCGCACGAGGGTCAAAGCCGTGGGCTCTCAAGGGCGAGGTGAGGGGACTGGAGCTCTGTGTCAAGGGATCCTGCTGAGATTTACCCCAGCCTCCAGGCCTGGCCTCCTCGCCTCCCTGCACAGCGGGTCCAGGCCTGCCTGGCGCCATCGCTGCCATGGAGTTGGCTCCTCAGACCAATTTCACTCCAAATCCCATGGACGGTTTGACCTGGCCCTGCATGTGTGTCAGGTGTTCCCTTTACCTGTGACCTGCACAGACTACTCAGGCTCAGGGTCCCTGCGATCCATCTAACAGGGTCAGAAAGCCACGCCTGAGCAAAAGAGCATTCCCCTCTCCTAGATAGCCCTATTCCCAGCTTCAGCCCCTGGGCCCAACTAACTCCGCCTCCAGGTGGAAAGACCCAGAACTGAGACTGAGAGGGGTGTTGCTGGGGCTGTGCTGGCTGAAACAATAGCCTTGGCTCCAAGGGGCCAGGAAGGGAGGGGCAGCAGACACGGAGCTGGGGTTTCACTCCCAACACTGACAACTTCTCCAGCTATTAAAAGAAAATGCTGGTCTCTGACTGCTGGCTGAGAAGCCACCCTGCCCTGTCCTAGCTGTGGGACCTCCCTGAGCCCAGCTGTGCCACCTGCCAACTCGAGATAAAGGGGGCCCTGGTCACAAAGGGCTGCTGAGAGCCAACTGTGAGCACACGCAAAGCGTTTGGGGCGTTGATAAATGCCAGCCACACCGTCATCACGGCTCACCGTCTGAGTTAGGTTTACGTGAAAACCTACATTGGCTTGGAGCTCACCACCTTGGCGGTCGGCACTTGCTGGGGTCATTGCTAATCCCACCCTGTCCCCTGGGCAATTTGGACACAGCCGGGGATAGCCCGAGGAGTGCCCGAGTGGAGGTCCCAGCAGGCCCCCACTAGCCATTGGCCCTGCTGCCAGGCCTGCGGAGGGCTCAGGAGTGACCTCTCCGGTCCCTGGGAGGTGGCTTTGCTTTAGTTGATGTGGCTCCTCCCTCCAAGGAGAAGGGGCCGGATCCAGGGACCCAAGAGCTTCCCTAGGCTCCACTCAGCGGGGGGCTCTGTCTGGGACTCACCTGCGTCTCGTTGTGCTTGCCATGGATCTCCACGAAGTCCTCCTGCACCTTCACGGTGAGGTCCTCAGGAGAGAAGTGCTTCACGTCCAGGAAGATGACGAACTTGTCCCGGTCAGATCGGACCTGAAACCCAAGGCTCGTGTGGGTCCCCCCAGGGGCCATAGCTCGGGGAAGGAGCTTGCCACGACCCCTGCAGTGCTGGCCAGAGTGGCTGATGTGGAGTGGCCGGTGGCTCCATCTCCAGTTATCGGAACAGAAACTGTGGGTCACCACTCTACCCTCTGCTTCCACGCACCCGGGGAACAGAGGGACCCGTGACTCAGGACTGTGTGGGCTTGGCTGACAACCAGGATCTTGGGGTTCAAGGCAGTGGTGTCTGTTGACTGCCTGGTTTGTTATAGGTTGACTGGCTGGTTATGGTTGGCTGGCTGGTTATGGGTTGGTTGGCTGGCTGGTTATGGTTGGGGGGCGGGCTGTGGCTTAACTGACTGGTCGGACTGAGCACTTGGAGTAATGTCGTTGCCCTTGGCTTCACCTCATCTCTCCATAAACAGCCCCGGGCCCCATCCTTCCACATCCACATGACGTGCCTGACAGCCCGTTCAGCGCTGCCCGGCTGCACTGCACACAAAGTGCTTTTGTGCTCCTCTCCACTCACTTCTCTCGCTCAGAACATTCCTTTAGCCTCCTTGCTCCCTTGAGGTGGTTGGTGTTGCATCAGATCTGGGCAGGTCTCGGGTTTTTAGGCGGTAGTGAGACCTGGCACCTCCAGAACTCTGACCCAGAGTGGCTCAGGGAGGGAAGGCCTGGGGGCCTCATGGCCTTCCCTTTGAGCCTGGCCTTGGGCACTTGGGCAAACTTGGGACGAGCCCATTCTCTGCAGCTCTGCCGGCCCCAGAAGGGCTTCAGGCGGGAGGCCCTGCTCTCAGGACCTCGGGCAGCACAGCCCGGCCCCCCAGCCTTCCTGACGGAGGGAAGCGCGGACAGCCGCGGTACACAAAGCTCTTACGCCTGCGGTCACCTGCCTTGACGGGGTTGTTCTCGGGGCTTCCAGCATGTGGCTGGTGCACTGCAGACCACATGTGGGTCATGAGCTGATGGGAGGGAAAGACAGTGGCTGGGCTCAGGCTGCTATGGGGACAGCCGCCCGGCCTCTGTGTTGAGGCAGAACGAGGTGGGCAAGGTGGGAAAGTGGCCTGGCAGCCATCGCCCTCCGCTCCATCAAACAGGGGGAGAGCACACAGAGCCCGGTGCCGCCTCTGCCCAGGGCCGGCCCTCAGGGGTCCCTGCTCCTCCTCCAGCCTCGCCCAGGCCCTCCCTCTGAGCAGCGGCCGGGCCTTACCTCGGAGACGCCGGAGTCCAGCACGGAGCGGAAGAGGGACTGGCGGTAGTAGGGGCTGATGGTGGAGGACAGGAAGGGCAGCAGGTCATACTCGAAGAGGCCCTCCCCGAAAAACTGGTCGAAGAGCCGGCTGGGGTAGAAGGGGCCCAGCGTGCGCTTGAACCAGGGGTGCTGGATAGCGATGTCCATGCTGGGTGTCGGCTGCAGGGACCCGGGGCTGGTGGGCAGTCAGGACGGGGCCTCTGGGCAGCGCAGTGCGGAGCTGGACACCAGCCCTCGCTATATACGCCGGCCACAGAATGGAGGCATTAGGGGGATTTCTCTGGAAAGCGCGAGCTCAGGACGGAGGCTGCCCAGTCAGCAGAAACGTGGGCTGGGCTGAGCACCAGCCACTCCCAGCCCCGGGCAGCGGCCCTGATCAGTACGGAGCCCTGGACGCCGGGAGGACAGACGTCCCCAAGGAGCTTCTCTCTGCTGGCTCTGCCCCCCACACTTGCCTTGCCTGGGGGGTGGTGAAGACGCTTATCTGCCCGTTACTGGGTGAGGGTGCTACATGCCAGTTCCCTGCATACACGGTCCTGTGTGACCCCATGGCCACCCCATGAGTGGGCACTCAGACCCCTGATTCACAGAAGAGGAAATGAGGCACAGAGGCTGGACAAGTGGTCCCAAATCTCACCGCTACTAGGTGAGGGTGCATCGTTTTTCAGAACAGAATTACTTTTTCCTGATTACAAAAATCACACATACTCATTGTAAAAATCTCAGGAAAGACAGAAAGTACTGAGAAGAAACTAAAAAGTGCTGTAATTCTGGCCCCGGGGGAGCCCTGTCTCGGGGTCTGCATGCGTCCAGACAGGGAGCAGGTTTGCTTTGACAAACTCTGTATCCCGGCCTCTCCTCCGTGCGGCTCACCCTGGGCATCGTCCCTGCGAACGTCATCCTCTCCTCCGTAGATGACGCTTTGGACCTTAAACCAGGTGCTCCTATCAGGCCTCAGGGTCGCCCCTGTCATCACTGTTAATGGCGAGGCCTGGTGACTTTTGCTCCTCTCTCTGTGGCCCCATCCAGTTATTGCTCAGGATGCGTTTCCAGAGGGGACCTGCCACTGGTCAGGGCGTTGCCAGTTTTAAGGTTTGTGATATTTTTCTGTAGCTTGGCATCCAGGGAGTATTATACTAAAACCCAGGAAAATGCCTTTTCCCAGACCGCTTATGAGATAGCTTATTTAATGCACAATCCAGACAGCAAGAAGTTTCTTATTCATCTTTGCACCTCCCCTGTCCCTAGAAGCGCAACTTCTAGTCGGTGTCGGCTTCATATTTGTGGAATAGACGCATCCTCAAAGCACTCGGGGATCTTTGCAAATTTATCTCCAACCCCTGGACTTAGCTAGTCAGGAATGTGCAGACTTCTCTGGATTTAAGACTGTATCTGACACATCTAAGGTGGAATCAGTGTCAAAAATGGGAATTTCAGAGCATCCCTCCCACTTCTCCTCCCTTACTAGCAGTACTGGGTACCAAGTCCTTCCTCCTTGCATTTCTGGGCACCTGCTCTGGGCAGAGCACCAGCCAGTTGGTAAAGAGCCCTGAGAAATTTGGAAACACCACCATTTGTCCTGTGAGTGTACAATTTCAGGGAGTAGGGGTGTCAGGCAATATAGACCGAATTAGGGTGCAGATAATCAACACTGAGGGGGACAGAGGACCCCTTCCCCACCCAGGCCTGTGCCAGGCCATGCTCTGCTGGTTTCCTCGCAGCCACCCTATAGGGGATGTAGGTCCCAGCATCCCCCTACTTCATAGACCAGGAAAGTGGGGTTCGAAGAGTTTAAGCTGCATGCCCAGGTCACTCGACTTGGAGGAACGGAAGGGGGCTTCAATGCAGGCGGCCCGCCCAGGCGGGGGGTCAACATGGGAGCCATGGTGGGGTGTGGGCAGGGCGGTGGGCGGCCCTACACAGCGCTGGCTGCCTGCTTCTGGGCCAGGAAGGGGGGGAAGGGGAGCAAGCGTCCAGCTGGCTGGGTCCTCCGTGGAGAGGGTCCAGCAGGATCTGTGCTGGGCAGAGCCACACTAGAGCTTGGGACAGAAGGAATAGTTAGTAGTACTGATCCCTTCTTTATTTAAAACTTTGATATTTTGTTCATCACAGATTTTTTGCACTCATTTTGATTTTTTAAAACATTGCATTAAGGCATGATTTATTCTGATGACTGTGGTTTGGGGCGCCCTCTGACATTTGACACTGAGGGGAGTGCCTCGCTCTCCTCACCCTATGCCTGGCCCTCCATGTGGTCGTTCCAGCAGGCTGGGACTGCAGGCAGCGATGAGGCTGAGGTGCCCACCTGGGGCTGGGCACAACCTCATCCTATGGGCCACACGCCCCAGGGTGGCCAAGGGTCCACTGAGGCCCTTCAGTCAGGCAGGGGTACCCAGGCACTCACTCACACCCCTTACATGCCCACCCTTCTCGGGGCTGGGAAGCCCACGTGCTGCAGGCAGTAGGAGTAGAGGCCTCCGTGGGGCGTGACAGCACTTGCTGAGGGCTGGCCGGGCCTGCAGGGGTGGCCTTCAGAGTGAGCCAGCACCAAGGCTGCAGGGATGGGAAACGATGGGGGCCCAGCTGTTTCCAATACGTGTATGCAAATTAACCCTCGCCTCAAACCCCCACCTCAGCACAGCCCAGCCCCTCACCACCCTGGATTCTAGGAAAACAAGACCATTTTGCTCTGGGCCTGGATTCCTCTTTGACTTCACTTTGAAGATGTCACTTCAAAGCCATGGTGGTGCAGAAGGCGCTGTTGGCCGTGCACTGAGGGGGCGCGGTGTCTGCAGAGATTCGAAAACAATAAAACCAGAGACCTGCCCTGTGGCATAGTGGTGACGTTCGGCGCACTCTGCTTTGGCAGCCCTAGTTCACAAGTCCAGATTCTGAGTGCAGACCTATACCACTCGACAGCCATGCTGTGGTAGTGACCCACATACAAAGCAGAGGAAGATTGGCACAGATGTTAGCTCAGGGCTAATCTTCCTCAGCACACAAAAAAGAAACAATAAGACCACCTAGAAGTTCATGTACTTTTCATTATCCCCAGGTACTGTCAGTTCTAAGTAACAGTGCAAAATACACCCCACCTTTCGTTGGTGTAAGTTCTAAGCAATCGCTACACAAACAGTATAGTCAATTCTCCTTATTTGCAGTAATGCGCTACAAAGTTGCTGTGGAGAAAGAATCAGTGAATACTGAACCGTCACTCCTGGGGGAAACACGGGTCAGGTTCCTGGGAGCCTCTGGTCACAACATTTTTGTCAACCCATCAATAGATAAGCTTGTGTGATGAGTGTTTCTGTTTAAAGACCTGGTTTCACACACGTTGTTGATTCATTAACATGGAACTCACGGCCAATAGCCCTGTAACTCACGTCTGAACAGAGCTTATCCAGCACACGTATTTTTTCCCTAATGCACATTGCAGCCTTCTTATGCTTAGAACATGAGACAGCCCTTTAGCATCGCACTTGGGGGCCATTTTAAACAGTGAAATCACTGACAAAAAGCATAAAAATGAGAAAAGTACGGCACTATGTAGACTGCAAAAAGGACCCTTGTTGACAGCATGAGCTGAAACAAGAAGACAGAAGAGCACTGTCTTATTCCACCTCGGCTGGGAACGAGCACGTCAGTGACTCAAATTCCTCACCTCTCAGCCACGCTGGTCCATGAATGACTGTGGAAGGGCTACGAGGACCGATGCTGGGTTTACAAATAAATTTTAGAGAGTGGGTGTTATGGGCTGAATTATATCTACCCAAAATTCATATGTTGAAGCCCTGACCACCAGCACCTCAAAATGTGACTGTATTTGGAGATGGATCCTTTAAAGAGGTGACGAAGGTAAAATGAGGCTGTAAAGACCATGTGAGAACACAGGGAGAAGACGGCGTCTACAGGCCAAGGCCTCAGAGGAACCAACCCTGCCGACACCTGGATCTTGGACTTCCAGCATCCAGAACCGCGAGAAATAAATTTCTGTTGTTGAAGTCGCTCCGTCTGTGGCATGTTACGGCAGCCCGAGCCGACCAACGCAGTAGGCAAATTCTCAGATACAGAGTGCACACATAACGAGGAGTGACTGTGTTTATGTAGTCTTCAGATAAGCAGAGCTTCCTTTCTTATCCTTTTATAAACGTTTGCCATGTGGAACCCATCCAGAGAACTCCCGGTCCACAGCCGCCCCTACGCCAGCAGACTCGCCTCTGTGCATTTCGGAGCTGGTTTCCGAGGCTGGGAACAGTCAGGCTCACCGGGTGCTGGTTCTCGCCTCCAGCTCCTGTGGCTAGACACCTTTCTGTGCTTAAACAGCAGATTTCAAATCAGCAATGACAGCCCACAGGAAGACTCAGAACTGGAGTTATTTCTGTTCTGTCACCCTGTGTGACTTCTTGGGGCTTTTACTGCATGTTTAAAATTTAAAACTGTGAAACCAAGTACAAACTGTGAAGTGTAACGTTTCAGTGCCAATGTTAGTTCGTACATGAAATATTTCACTGAATTTGAATATCTTTGAGATTTAAATATATTCTTCTTTTGTTGTTAATTGTTTGTTTTAAAGATTATTCCATGATTATACTGGAAATAATTTTGTCATGCAGAGGAGGGAGTGTGCAAAATATGATCTGCTCTGAGTGTCAAATGCACCAGCTACACCACTGGGTTGGGTTCCTCTGGGCTGCTTCTTGGTGTTCCAGAAGCTTCTTGCAGCTCAGCTCTGCAGGAGTGAATTGGAGCCCATGGCTGTCCAAGGCAGACCTCAAGCCACCCCACGCCCGCACCCCTCAGAAGCTCTCCAGAAAGGCCTTGGGTGGATGGTGCTCACAGAGCCCCACAGCTCGGACCTCAGCCCTGCCTCTGTAAGGCCCAGGCTGCCACCTGCCTGGTCACCAGCAGCTTTCGTACCCAGGGCAGAGATGGTACAGGGGGCAAGTGTCCACTCCAGGATGTCGGAAGAGAGGGGTGCCATTCCTCCGGTGCCTCCCAGTGGGGGTAAATTGACCTGAGGCAGCAGCTCTGGCCCCAGAGTCCTTAATATTCTGCACTGACTTGAACTCTGAGGACCGCCCATTCCATGAGAGTCCCTCAGTGCCCGCAACCCTCTGTACTGTCGTTTTCATTATTTACACACACACAAGCTGACTTTTCACAAGGAGATGCTTTTGCAAGAAAGTCTTTGTGAAATAAGTTTTTAAAAGAGGTGATGGGGGGGCCAGCC